AGCAGGAGAAGAGGAAAACGAAGCTGGAAGAACCTTGAGAGCATACCACAGGAGAGAAGCGTGCTGCGGGGTATTGTCCTGTAGACAGACTTTCGGTCCTGACCCAAGAGAGGAGGAGAGGAGGAGGTGGTGGTGGAGGAGGAGGAGGAGGAGCAGCAGCAGCAGCAGCAGCAGCAGCAGCAGCAGCAGCAGCAGCAGCAGCAGCAGCAGCAGCAGCAGCAGCAGCAGCAGTGGAATGGAGAATGAGGGCTCAAGATGCAAGCGCTAGGGTCTCACGTGGAGGAGATCTCTGATAAGGAGCTGGAGAAGCTGAAAGTCGGAGGAGGAGGAGAGGAGGAGCTGAGCGAACTGGCACACGTCTTCCTCCATGCTGATCCTTGCAAGAGCGAACTGTCGGAAACAAGCATCAGTGTGGAAGGAGGAGGGGAAAAGATCTGACGAGGGAATAGGCCTCAAGTTCGTCCTCCTCCTCCTCCTCCTCCTCCTCCTCCTCCTCCTCCTCCTCCTCCTCCTCCTCCTCTCCTCTTCCCCTGGTCCCTCTTCCTATCCACCATAGCCCCCCCCCACCTCACTCGCCCTCTTGTTCCTCATTCTCCTCCTTCCTCTCTCTCTCCTCATGTCGCCCTTGCTGCTTGTGCTCCTTCTCCCTCTCCTTCCCTCCTCTTTCCCGTCCTACCTGAGCAGGGAGTTCGGAGAACTCAGCAGGAGAAGCATGGGAGGGTAGGCTGCAGGAACGTCAGGCTCTCCTTCCTTCCTCTCAAGCGCCACCGTCTTCCTCCTCCCGACGCCGCAGCTCTCCTATACAGCTCCTTCGCCTTCTCCCGGTCCTGTTCAACCCCCTGTCCTAGGTTGAGGAGGAGCACAGGAGGAGGAGGGCAGGCTGCGGTGACACGGGGAAGAAGAGGTGGAGGAGAGGAGGAGGAGAGGAGGGATGGAATCAAGGAGGACAGGGAGAGATCGAGAGACGAACGAAGATGGAGCAGAAGGGAGAAAGAGGGAGGAGGAGGGCTCTAGTGATAGTACACACACGCTCACCATCCCATGCTCTGTAAGGTAAGCGAGGTTGAAGATGCTTTGAGGATCATCCTTGTTCATCTCTGCTGCCTTTCAGCGCCTCCTCCTCCTTCTCCCTCCTCCCCTCCTCTCCTGTTTTCCTCTTCTCCCTCCTCTCACCATAGTGTCTCGCTGCTTCAGTGTAGTTCACCTCCAGCCCCTGACCATAGTAGTGCATGTCTCCGACTTTCCTCCTGCAAACAGCATCTCCCTGCCCCATGCTTCTTACTGACTCCTCCTCGTCCCACCCAT